CTGCCTCATGCCTTGCAGGCACAAGGACCCAAGTTTGATCCTGGGTACCAAAAGAAAAAACAAAAACAAAAAACACTGTTCTTTAATCTGCTACTGAGCAAGCAAAATTAAAGTATAAAAATAAGCTTAAAGTTTTTCTAGTTTCTTAAATCTGCTGTTTTAAAAAGGGTTATTAAAAAATGTAATAAAAAGTGCTATGACATATTTTTGACGCCCAGGTCAATGATTGTATTTAGTGGGTTTTCTGTCCTGTTAGTCATATTTTCTTCTAATTTAAAAGGCTAAATTTTTATTTTCAGTCAATTCTAGACAAAGAGCAGTGAAGTAAACAGTGAAAGAAGAAAGCCACAAATATTCCACTCCAATTGTTCTAGTTAGTATATTTTCAGACAACTCAACAGAGACCATATTTTGTTCCAGTACAAAACTACAAATGCCTTCTGTGTTAGATGAAATTATTCAGATTTTTGATTGCCTACAAAAAGCGATTCTATTAAACTCATAATTCAAATAGCCTTCAGTTTCAGTAAAAGTATGACCTTCTTTTTAAAAAATGGTTATTGTAATGATAGCAAAGTGTTAATTCAACACAGGTCAAAAGCTTTATGGCATGAAGTTTTAGGGGAACTAGCAAGGCATCAGAAAGACATGGATTTAAGCTCCAACTCTATTCCTTTTTAAACTTTAGAAGTTAGTTCAGTTCTGTAATTTTCACTTTCCTTCTCATAAAATGAGATTATTAAGCTCATCTATACATCACACAGCTATTGCGAGAATCGAATGTGAAAGTACTGTATAACATGAAAGCACCATATAAAGATGTTACAATTAACTTCAGCTCCAGATGAATAGGACAAATATTAGAGTTAGTTCCATCAACACTAGTAGAAATGTTTACAAAAATTCAAAATCCAAAATGCTCCAAAGCCTAAGACTTTCTGAATGCTGACATAAATCCACAAATGGAGAGTTCCATGGCTGATGTCATGTGTTGTGTCTTAGTCAAAACACAGATCCACTAAAAATTCATATAACATTACCTTCTGGCTAGCTATGTAAGATGTATATGAAATATAAATGAATTTGGTGTTTAGCTTGGGTCTCAACCCCAAGATATCTCATTATGTATACATAAATATGCCAAAGACCAAAAATACTTGAAATCTCAAACACTTCTGGTCCCAAACCTTCAGACAAGGAAAATTCGTCCTTTATTTACCAGCATAGCTACAATCCATAACTGTCACCATGGGCACGCTATACTTTTGTAGTACAGACCATGATCAAGACAGGGTTAAGTGTCCTTCTAGCTTTCCCCTCTTTATTCCATCTTGGCAGTTTCATGGTTTTAATAAGCAGATGACTCTCAAACCTATTACTTACTACAAATGGAGAATAAAATAAGTGTGGTAAATCTACATAATTATTGAACCTGGTTGATAAATATTTGGTAATTTACTACTTTGCCTTTTTGTTATGATTTTTAATGTTTTAATTATTACTATCAATGCCAAACTTGTCTATTTTCACCTACTGCTACCTGAATACTGCATTTCGAACCTTTTCCAACTTTCTCACCTTCTGCCTAGTACTTTCATTTCTAATGCCATGCCAGTCTTTGCTAGCTCCCTCTTAAACCACATTTCCTCCCCATTTCCTCACTGACATCCACCCCTTCCATCATCACGCACTCTCCACTGTTCCCCAAACACATTCTTTTTTTTGTTGTTCTCTCTTGCTGTTTCTTCTGTCTGGAAGGTTCTCACCCACAGATTTCCTTATGACTCTCCCACATGTCATTCAAGTTTACATCAACTCCATCTGTGACCAGTTTAAGTAAAATAGCACTCTTCTCGCTCTCTAACCTCTTACAACGTTCTAAGCAGTAAACACTACTTACATTATAAAATTACATGTATCTTCAACATATCTGGCTCCCTCCCTGATATTTCTGTAATATAAAAGCCAACTCCTCAGTCTGCCACAAAATCCTCCCATGATCTGGACTTTCTTCTATCAATTATGCTTCTTCAAAAGACTATAAGGTCAAACTTTCTCTAGTTCCTCATATATGTTTCTCAACTTGCTTTCCCTGTGTCTTTGCTCAGTGACTACTGTTCACATGCTCAAATTCTACCCTTATCCCAAGACCCAGTTTAATGCTGCCATCATTGACTTTGACTGACACTCCTCTGAACTGCCATGATTATAACTCTACATTATTTCAAAGGCCTTATTATTCAGCATTTATTTATAAATTTCCTCTACTAATCAACATGCACCTTAAATGCAGAATCTGTACCCAATTCACTTTTTAGACTTCTGGGTTACACAAAGGAATGCAAATATTTGTGTATTTTTCTTAAATATCAAAAATTGGTTGAGATGGCAGACAACAAAGAATTCAAACTATAATCCCAACACAAGATAATAAATTCTTAACATAACTTCTTTGCTTTCTTTCTTTTGTTGTTTTTAAAACCTTATTTCCTCAATTTCTTCTACCTTCTTAAATTTAGTCATTTTAAAATTTTCATGTGGGTTCAAATCACAGCTGTATTCCTTAATAGCTACATTAATCCTTCCAAGTTTCAACTGCCTAACCTGTAAAATGGGAGAAAATTTCAACTGCCAAAAGGGTTATTATAGCATTAAATGAGATTTTTAAAAATATACATAAAACCTAATATAATGCCCAGCACCTACTGGGCTCTCAGCAAATGGGGCAAGTAGACTGTTTCCACTCAAATGAAAATCTGACCCATGAACTTTGAAAACAAACAGGTTTAAAATAGTAGACTAATAAATGGGGAATTTTATTTATTTCTTCACTGATGAAAACACAAAAGTTGTATATATTAATAGGGTAGCATGTGATGTTTCAAAACATATATACTCTGCAATCCAAAAGGCACACTAGAACTTCTTACTCCTATGTAACTGCAACTTGGTATCCACTGACAAACCTCTCCTCATCCCTCGGTCCCATTTCCCTCTCTGGCTTCTAGTGCTATAAGCACCATTCTACATTTTACTCTCAACTTGTAAGAGATCAACTTTTGAGATTCTATGTAAGAGTGAAATCACATGTTTGGCCTCCTTCACTTAACATAGTGATCTTCAGTTCAACCCATGTTGTAAAAAATGGCAGTTTATTCTATATATGAAATTTTTAAGTGTTAAAAATATTCCCAACTTGTACTCTGGTTAACTGTAAACTCCTCTAATGCTTTTCAATGGAGCATAAATTTAGTTTACATTCACATACCTGGTCTATCATTATTAGTAGTAGTATTTTACTATTACTACTATACCCCCTAAACACTGCATATTTGGGTATGGCTAAAACAAAGGGAATGCCTAACATAGATTTTAATGTTAATTTACAGACACATTTGAACAATCCATTATTTGGCAGTGGTTTCCTTCAGATCAATCTGTGTTTTCTTGACTTCACTCCCTCCTAGCAGGAAATTGCTTGCTTAGCATTACTATAGTAACATTCATAAACATGAAACTCAAAGTGGCAAACTACAAATAGAATACTTGCATTTAGTACTATGAATGCCATCACTGGCTGGGCTGTCAATCATTCCTGAAGTTGACATGCAACAAATTCTGCTTGATCTTCTCTCAACAGTATACTTAAGAGATCTGATCATAGATAATCAAATCCGTGAACTAAGATACAGTATACACAGTTTTCTAGTTTCTCAGGACACAGAACTACACCATTGCTTTGCCAAAAGATAAACCGCCCAGTTATCTTAAAACATAAAGAATTCCGAGTTCTCCACAAGTAATACATATTTTCAAACACAGCTAATCTTTGACTTTTACACCAAAACTAAAATCAATCATCCAGCTCTAAATCCTACATTAAAATTAGTTGCAAAGATTCACAGTATCTTGCCTCGACTATAACGTGTCTAGCACTGTGCCACATACATAAAGACCCTATGTTATTGTCCAACCTTACCAATTCCTCTAAAATCAGTCACCAACTTCTATGAAAGTTCAATTAAACTTGTTCAACCAAAAAAAAAAAAAAAAGGGAAAAATAATAATTGTATTAGTTACCTAACTGAACTATAGCGAATTATTCTAAAGCTCAATGTAGGACAATATTAAAATGCTACTTGAAAGCTGGATGTGGTGGCACAGGCCTGTAATCTCAGCACTTTGTGAGGCTGAAGGTAGAAGGTAGCACTCTGTGAGGTAGAAGGACTGTAGGTTCAAACCCAGCCTGGGCAACTCAAAATAAAAAATAATAGGGCTGGGCTGTAGCTCAGCACAAAGACCCTGGAGTTCTATCACCAGCACCAAAAAAAAAAAAAAGACGGAAGGAGGGTAAGCGGGCTGCTCAGTAAATCTTTATGATAAATATATATATTACTACTGTTATGTTTCCAAAAACCACCTATATTAACTTGAATGCAATATAAAATTAGCCACTTAATCCTTCCCCTTACTCTAATGACTAGAATGGTGCTTCTTTGGTGGTATGTACCAGAATCACCTGTAGACTTTCCAAAAGTAAAAATGATACTTAAGGCCCAGTCTCCATCACTGCAGGTTCAGGAAGCCTGAAGGACAGAACGCAGTAGTATTTAAAGGCTCTACAACTGGATGCTGATGCATACCAAACCAGAGTGCTTCCTGGAGTGGATAAGCTTCCATGTGAGCCACCTAATGCCATTACCTCAACATTACCTCTAGCCACTGTCTTATTTCAAATTTAAGTAAAAACATACAGCTTTTATGTTCATTTTTATGTGACAAGTAAGACACAATCTAAAATTTCAGATGCCCAAAGGCAAGTGTAACTTCCTCACCATTGTGAAGAAACCTCTCTTCTTACCCTCTGGCTCTGCCTACTACATAAAAAAGAATTTATAGAACAGTGCATGTTTAGACAAACTAAGTAAATCTGAACAGTCTGAAGCCTCCAGTGAGATATGGGCTGACTTTACAAAGCAATACAAATACGACCCCGTCACCTCAGAGTTAGACTTGACTTCTTCAGTGGCTGGTTTAGATGCATCAAGAGCTGTACCACTGCTGCAGGCAGACATACCTAAAAGTAAGATGTGTCAGGCATATATTAAACAATTCAGTTTAGAGAGCTGTGCTGTCCCACTGCTACTCTTACAAATACCCACAGGGTGACTAATTTATTTGTAGTCAGAATTTCCTTTTCAAAGTTATCTATAATATATGAATATCTATTATGATAAAGAATTCTAAAACAAAAATTCAGAAAAAGCATTTATGCAGAATAATTTCATAAAATTTAGATATCAAACAATGTAAAAGACCAGATTATCATCTTGATTTGACAGATAAAAATTTAAGTGTTAGTTCCAAACCAAAACTCAGACCTCTCCCACCATGTGGATAGCAGTCTTTAGTACTGAAAACAAATGTGACTGCTCACTGTCAAAGAGCAACACAATATGCTCAGATTCAATTCAATAGCAATTTAATGACCTATTTCTGCTACTACTTCGTTCAATAATATTTGGACAATGCCAACTATATATGAAGAACTCTGTACTAAAGAGAAAGAAAAATGAAATCTAGTTCAGGTTTTAGAAGCATTCTCAATCTAATCAGAGACAGACACACAAAGAATTACAAGATGCCACATTAAGAACTGTAATGCCAAAAAAATTTTTTTTTACTCTTGAAATACACTGGAGAGAAAAAAATATAGTGTTTACAGACAGAATCCAATATCACACTAAGAAAATAATACATAAGGGCCAGGGATTTAGCTCAGTGGTTCTGCCACCTGCCTTGCAAGTGGAAGGTCCCTAGTTCAATCCCCGGAACCAAGAAAATAATACATGACTAATTGGGAGTTATCTTAGGAGCATAGGATTGTTTCAACTAGGAAATCTATTAACATACAGTATATTCATAAACCTCTCTCTATATATGTGGCATCAGCACTCATTAAAAATTAAACTCAAGGAAATAAGAATCTAAAAGATACTTTCTCAACATGACCAAAATATATACATACACAGGTTAATCTTACAACCATTATATTATTTAATAAAGAAAAAACAGATGCATTTCCAATAAGATCAAGTACAAAAGATGCTCACCATCTCTGTTACAATTTAACACTGTACTGAGGTATTAACCAGTTCAACTAGTTAAGAGAAATCAACTAAAGGAATAATAGGTTAAAAAAAAAAAAAGTAAAACTATCTGCAGTTGTAGATATAACATTACATTTGAAAAACCACAAAAAACAAAAAATAAAACTAATTCAAAAATAAAACCAGTAAGATTTAAAAATAAATAGCCTTCATATACAAAAACAATAGTCAAGGGGACATACTAGCAGAAAAATTCCATTTACAATTAGCAACAGAAAAGACCATATACTTAGGAACAAACAATGTGTAAAACCTATATGAGAAAATTTTAGCATGACTGAAAGACACTAAAGACTTGCACAATGGAAAGACATCCCTGTTTTTGGATGGGGTGACAGTGTCCAGTGATTTTAAAAGTGCATACATATAGCATCATTCTTTGAAATTATAAATATTTAAAACAAGCTATGTGTATACATAGGAAGGTAAATGAATAAACAATGGTATATGTAAACTATGCGACTGTGAAAAGAAAGAGAATAAGGACAATGTTTATGGTATGGAGTGATTTCCAGGACATACAGCACCCTCTCCATCATCCAGTTTAACTTCCTGTGATCAACTGTGGTCCGAAAATATTAAATGAAAATTTCCAGGTATAAATAATAATTCATAAGTTTTAAATTACATGACATTCTGAGCTGTGTGCTGACATCTCTCGCCATCTGCTCTATCCTACTGAGCTGTGAATCGCCCCTTTGTCCACCACATCCACTGTATACGCAGCCCATTCTGTAGATGTTTCCTATCCGTTAATCACTTAGTAGATGTCTCTGTTGTCAAACTGTCTGTTGCAGTATCGCAGTGCTTCTGTTCAAGTAACACTTATGTTATTTCATTATGATCCCAAAGCACAAGAGCAGCAGTGCTAGCAATTTAAATATGCCAGAGAGAAGCCGCAAAGTTCTCCCTTTATGTGAAAAGGTGAATACTATAAGGTATTTTGAGAAAGAGACCACATTCACATAATTTTTATTGCAGTATATTGTTATAGTTGTTATATTTTATTAATTTCTTATTGTACGTATGGTAATTTATAACTAAACTTTACGATATATATAGATGTTCGAGGAAAAACATAGTACACATACAGGGTTCAGTACTATACAAGATTCTGGTTATCTATGAGGAATCTGGAATGTATCTCCCACAGATGGGGGACAACTGTACTGCTAATTTTAAAAAGAAAAGTCCAGAAAAGAGCAATACTATGCAAGAATGAAGGGGGATATAGGAAAATACATGTTGTACTCAATGAAAGAAAAGAAATACAGGAAGGGTGAACCAGAAATAAAGGAGGTATGTTACCTAGAAGGGGAAGATGGGAAAGGGGTAGAAGGGAAAAAATGGAGGGAATGAGAACAGGGTAGCAGGCATAAGGAGAGAGTGACATGTCTCTGAATATATATTTTTTACTAATTCTGACTTAGTCATAGTCATAATATTAGTCTTAGTCATAGTATTCTTCAAAAAATATCCTTCAAAAAATAAAAAAGGTTTTTAAAAACCGAATAATTAAAAAACCAGGTTATGGTAGGAACTCAAAATGGTATAGAAACACCAATAAATGAACGTAACTGCATTATCAATGAGTAACCCTAGGAAGAAGACAAGGAAAGAAATGGAAATAGAATACAAATCATGATAACTTGGTTTCTCACAGAGAAAGAAGGTATAAAAAAACAAAGGAGAAATGCTAAGAGGAATCCCGTGGGGTCAAGCTAGAATCAGAGGTATCAGAATAAACATGGCTTTAATATAAGAGTGTGTCTATGTGCATCAGTTTATTTTCCTAGCTCTGTTCACTGAGAAGCCTAGAAGCAACGACACTACAGTAACAAGTATGCTTGGTCCCCAGATCTTGGTCTCTAAAACACCATTCTCCAATAAAAAGAACCAAGGCTCTTCGGAAAAGCAGTTGATCCTGGGGCTGAGGCAGGAAAAATACAAGGTGAGCCTGGAATATCTTTTGGTATCAGAATATAAGGAAATTTTTAAAAACAGAAAAAAGGTAAGGCTTGTCCAAATACAGAAGGAGCCCTTAACAACCAACACTGGAATAAACTGACCAACAAAACAAATGAGAGAAGTGCATTGAAACACACAGAATAAAACAAACATGAGTCCATACTGACATAAGCAAACAAGCAAGTAAAAGTAAATAGGAAAGGGGCCAGGGATTTAGCTCAGTGGTTCTGCCGCCTGCCTCGAAAGCACAAGGTCCCGAGTTCGATCCTTGGTACCAAAAAAAAGAAAAAAACAAAAACAAACAAACAAACGTAAATAGGAAAAAAGGAATCTTCTTATAATAGAACTTCAATTAGACATATAGAAACAAAACAGGATTACAAAACAGGTAAGCATCACAAATGTTGCAGACAAGATCCACTTAACAGATGCAAAAAATCGGGGGCAAAAGTTTGGAGAGAGCAGAATTTACATAGTCTCAACGTAATTCTCACAAGACAGCTAACAAGGGAAATACATTAAGTCTGTAGTGGAAAAACTCTACACACCAACTTACCTAGGTGACAAGAACAGTGATACCCTGGTTTACGAATGCTTTTGTTTGTTAACAATTTAGTTTGCAAACAGAAATGTTTGGCAGTTTTTTGTTTGAGAATTCCTTTGTTTGCACTGGGTGATGAACATGAATGTGGCCATCTTTCCCGCGTGACCACGAACATGAACGTGGCCATCTTTCCCAGTTGTGAAGAAAATTAAGTTCATGAACCAAGGTACCACTGTACTGGTATTAAGATGTATCAATATCATAAGTCCCTTAATGTGACACAGTAAAAAAGACACATCATTTTTGTGGTATTCTTGCCAAAAATGAATAATCTTAGACCAATCACATGAAAATATGGGGCAAACACAAATTAGGAGACATTCTAAACAGTAACTAATCAATCTGTTGAAAAGTCAAAATCATCAAGGACATGGAAAGTGTGTGAGAAACTTACAGATCGGAAAAGATTATGGAGAAATAACTAAATTCAGTATGGGTTCCTGGGTAGGATCCTGGAACAGAAAAAAGACAGTAGTTGAAAATTTGTTTTAATTCTAATAAAGTCTATAGTTTAATAACATTATACCAGCATTACTTTCCTACTCCTGATAATTACTGTTATATTAGATGTTAACATCAAGGAATTGGGGTAAGGAATATGCAGGAATTCTTGTATTACTTTTGCAGCTGTTCTGAGTCTAAAGTAGATCAAAATAAAAGTTTTTTAAAAAAAATAATATTAAGAGAGACTTTCAGGAAGATGGCAAAGCAGTAAGCAGCAATAATTCTGCCTCTCTGAGATTCAGAATCCAAACACTGGAAAATAACAACTTGAGAGAGAAAAGGAGGGAGGAAGTGGATCCCTGGGATCCAGGAAGGATGATCTGAAGGGAAAAGTGGCTCCCACAGAGAAACTGAAGAGTCAGACCACATTGCAGAAAAAGGAAGAGGCAAGCTGCATTTTCTCCATGGCCCCTGGCGCATGGCGAGAAAAACACTGAATCTTCACACACAGTAAAAGTAGGGGCCTCAGAGACCTGCAGGGAGAGACACACCAGTGGAACAAAGCAGTGGATGCCATCCGTGGCACTACAACTGCGGGTGAGTGATTCCATTTCAAGGGTTTGCCATTATCCCCTGGAGAGGCCTGGTTGGACACCATTTTAGGGAGAGGCCAACTGAACCTGGGAGTCAGAGGACCTTCAGCTTGGCATCATCTCAGGGCTTCCATGCCAGAGACTCCTGCAGTAAGTCTCTAGTACCCACTGGCCCATCTGAGATGTAGGCCTGAGAAAAAAATACACTAAGAGACAGAACTAAGAGAGAGAAAGTGGGGGCCAGGACGACCAATGCCAATGTAACTGACAAAGGCGCTGGACAGTCCCAGGCACTGAC